TTTACTCGTCTTTGTCAGTCAGAATTTAATAATCAATGTCAGTAACAGGAACAAAAGGCAAAAACATGCAAAGGTAACATTAAAAAATAACATTAAAATACTAACTACATAGCCATGACTATCAAAAAGTACACTGAATTCTCTACATGTTCATAAATAAAAGAAAATTGCACTTGACAGAATGATACTTCAGAACTGAACTGCACTTAAATGTCATGTATACAACTAAGACAAATTTAATCAATAGCAAATATGGTGAAAAAAAGCTTTAGGAACATTACAAAATAGACATATTAATATTAACTTAGCTGTATGTTTCACCAAACAATAAAATGCATTACCTTATAAAGAACCAACATCATTATGATAATTCATTTATATACTCTTGTGGTTCTTCAATAAGTTCGATGTTTTATAGCTCATTCAGCTGTGTTAAAGAGAACTTATACTTTTTTAATAAACTAGACTTTATCAAGAGCAAAAATGAAGAATACATCTCTAAGCATTGATATTCTGTATTTATAACTGGAAAGGGTGCATTACCTAATTCAATATATTTACTGGATTATGTAACATATCAATATACATAAATGTAATACCTAGGTTTTTATTTTGTTTTGGATTTTGTGAAAATGGCGTTACCATGTTAACCAGTAAATTTAGTGCTTTCATGATCTAAAAATCCTGAAAGTGATGTAATGGTAACTGAGAGAGTGCAAGCTACATCCGAAGAAGGCAAGTTAGTGTTATATGTATAGATGTTTATATCACATCTATATTTTTAGTCAAAAAATTATAATTTTTTTCATTGACTACAATCTGTATGCAACCCTCCAGGTAGATTTGATGTATATGGCTCCAGATTTGAAATTGTTATTGCATCTTGTGTATTGCTGCACATTGAAAAGATTTTGCCTAGGTAGAAATAATACAGGTTAACTTTTCTGTAGCAAAGGACACAATGATGGTGGCAGGAAAAAGGAAATGCACGTGGTCTAAGAAGATGGAAGATGAAAGATGGAAGGTGGATAGCTATCTCACTTCTCTTATTACCTGGCAAGGAACAGATGAGTAGCATACATGTAGAAATCCAGGAAATAAAATGACGGTTAGAAATAAAATCAGAAGAATGTGTATAAAAAAAGATGATTGGCACAAATAAAGTGACAAAATCTTTAATAACAAAATACACAATAAAAATTATAGTAATCCACAACGCGTTTCGCCTATACATATGCTTCTGATTTTATTTCTACCTGGCATTTTATTTCCTGGACTCCAAGGAATCCTAGGTGGAGATCATACCATCCACGCTATCATTAAAGAGCACTTAGCCTGCTCTTTGCTTGTGAGTACTATTTTATTTATCTTATTCACCATTGTTTTAACCAGTGAGCACTATTAGTTTTCTCTTTCTACCCTTCTCCTGAGTGTTGAACATACCCCTGATGGAAGAAGTACACTATATATCCTATAAGCAGGGATTGTACCCCTGTATGCCCATCAAACTAGAGCTAGCTGTTACTCTTACAAATGTGAGTTTATTACCATCTCTCTTACATATTGTGCCCATTGGATTCAACTTATTACACTATTTGGTTCCTTTTTATGCTTTGTCGTTTCATACGAGTGGATCTGCCCGGATAAAGATAGCGAGGACAATACTCCCGATCAAGCACGTTACCCTTTATTTGATCTAACTGATATCACTTCATCTAGACTCTTTGGTCTGTTTCTTATTTATTATTTATTGATACTGCACTTTGGCACAGCCCTTACTTCCTTTTTTACTACTCTGTCAGTTGATAAATACCTGGGTACTGGTCGAAATGTTGCGTTGTCCAAAAACCTGCTTAAATCTGTCACAGTGAGTGCCTTACATGTTTTTATTTTATACTTGCTCTTATGGGATATGCTGACCCATGCTCAGTTAGCACCCTGTGATTTTTATGATTGAGTCAAATGGTCTTTTCTTTTTTTTGAAAACGTAGATGGCAAGCTTCCAGAATCTAATCCCTTACAATCTGCATAACAGTTAGACAGAGATATTCTAGAAATAAATCTCAGGTGCAACATTTCTGGGTGCAAAAAATGCCCAAACTGCCTTTAAGATGACACAGCCTTGTTACTCACCAATTGCTCTTTTAAATTGCTGAGAAATTTCTGCAAAATTGTACTGCAGCACTAATATTTCAAAAACTAAAAATCTACCTATTATAAAACTCATTAAGCTATGTCTTTTTAAACTCTTTTCTAAACCAACTATATTCTTTTTACTCAGCACCAGCAATTAAATATTTTGCATATGTGTAAAAACACAGAATATGTCCATATGGTCAGATGAGATGGTCATAAGAATTCAAGAAAATATTATGTTCTCTACATTTGTGATGAGAATCATAAGAGGAAATGTGTTAGTAAAATATTTTATAAGCATCTGAAGTGTTGATGCTAAAACAAATTTCTAAAACATTCTATATATATACTCTGATCAGCCACAACATTAACTCCACTGCTTAATATCATCTAGGCCCCCCTTGTGCTGCCAAAACAGCTGTGATGTTTTGAGGCATGGACTCCACAAGACCACTGAACATGTCATTGCATCCAACGAGAGGATCACCAAAATCAGAGAGAGCACCCAGAAAATTCAGTGGATGCCAGGCTCGAGGGTGTGGTATGAAATGTTATGAATATGATATTTATCAAACATAAATGTTTTAACATAAAAATAAATGAAACCACAAAAACAAACAAAATAATTGCCAGAACTCTCTCAGGAATGACCAATAGCATCACATATTCCTTTTTATATTTTTTATAAAGTAGAAAAGGGTTATAGCACATATATTACATTTCACATCTTTAAATCCTTCCTCTCCTTCAGCAAAGAAAACTGTAGAATGTTAGATATACAGTGCCCCTAGTACATTTCTTTAAAAATTATGTAGCTTATCTTTTTTTACAGTCAACATTCCAAAAATGTAAAATGGAAGAGGCCAATAATTTTCAACAAAACAGTTGTTAAGAGCACTACCTGTAAACCTACAAACTAATAGTGAACATCATATATCACAATAGTGGTACTGGTACGGTCCTGTCCTTGAGAGAGAACTATAGACGCTGAGAAGATGTAATTCCGCAAGTCAGAAAATCAATGTAATTTTTATAAGTGGACTTTCTGTTGACAGGTGGAATAGATGAAATTGGTACTCATGCAATGAAAAGAAGATTGACATAAATGGTGATAAATGTGTGGCACAACTTTTGAAGTGCAATCAAGGTAAACATGGGCAACAGCGAAAATAGCGTAGAGGAGATTGAAGTGAAGCATATCAGGAAACGTGCAAAAATGTACAATAGTTTCAAAACAAAACAAAAACATAAAAAGAAAACCACCTTATTTTTTGTCACTGGAATTTTTCACTTCCAGAATACCTGTTTCATCCTGTGCTATGCCACCTGTGACTAATCACAAGGTGAAATCTATACTCTCGCAACCAACATTAGACTGACAGTAATGATGAAAAGAATGAAAAACAAACTTGGTTAAACAATGAAACTTGGTGGCAATTGCTGTGGTCTCCTCTTTTCACTAAAATGGCCTTGACTTTTTGGAGGTGCTAAACAATGGTGATTGTTTTTCATTAGTAGCTAGAAAAATGACCTGTAGATCTGGTAATGGTGGCTTTGCTTTAAAAAATTAAATACTACCTTCTTAAAAAACATTTGCTAGAGAAGAGCTTTATTCATTTTCTAAATTCAGAGTTATGTTTATACTCTCAAAATTAAACAGCTGGTTAACAACAAATGCTAATGAGTCATCTAAATACAATATCCTGATTGTTGAACTTATATTAATGATATGCTTCTTGCTTCCTTTCATTGTTTCTCAAGTTATTATCTAAATCATTTTCATGTCCTATCTTGAATTTATCTTTGAAATTTCTCTTACTTTAATGTCTCTCCTTTATGTTCCTTTCACATCAATTCCCTGTACGTGTGTTGTGTAAGGTATGTCAAGTGTTCACCTTTCTTTTCAGAATGATAATGCTCTCAGGGTGAAACAATAGGTATCACTCTGAAGCTTTAGTTGCCATTTAAAAATCGATCAATCAATGAATGGATTAGTTAATCAATGTCGTTTTGTTAATACTGTCATATTCATGGATCATTTCCCTTCAGGAAAAGGAGAGGGGTAGAGAAAAGAAGAAAGGAAGAAAAAGGAAGGAATGTTTGGAGATCTATTAGCCCAGGGTACAGTTACTATTGTATAATATCAAATTAATGTGTACTGAAGGCATAAAACTCAAGAGGTGCTGATGCACTATCTGCCGCAGGTGTGCTGATGTGTATATATAACATGTTTCTAATGTTAAATCATAGTGAATAATCAATATAGGGTTATTATATACTGGCACATGTACTATACTGCTCACTAGTGCTTATTGCACAAATAATTGAGATGGAATCATGTTATGTGGGCATATTAACTATATTGTGCATTGATATTGATTGTATATAAATGGAATCAGCATTGAGTGGTATGAGAATAATAGCATTGAATTGATGTTATGCTGCTATGCAATGTTTTATATTAATATAATTTTTTATTATCATACATGAAGCACAAGGGTGTATTAGGCGTTTTTGCCCACACTGTATATGGACTTTTTTTGCTGAGGGCAACAGAATATTGCTCCGTCCGCACATTGCATGCGCATATCCGGATGTCACCTTTCAACCCGGAAGTAGATAGACCTCCGGCCGCAACCCGGAAGTAAGGAGCAAAGAAACCGCAAAAATTCAACTAAAGAAGGATATAAAATGCCATATACAGCTGGGGAACTTTTATTCTGCACCGACCGTGATGGCCGCCTAAAGTCAGAGCTCCGCACCAGAGGCTCACGAAATTGCACTGTAACCTGCAACAACCTACAACAGAAGCACCTAAACCCAACCCTAGCATTCCCCAGGCTGACCGGTTTAACCTACCACGGATGTCCAGCCACAAACCCACCAAAAAAGGCCCCAAGCATGTTCTATCAATGTCTGAAATGCTCACAACTCAGAGGCCGTCGCCATGTGGCACTGTGGCCGACACAAGTCTCAGTGATACGGGCTCCCTGGACGCAAGCACAACTCCTGAAGCCTCTTCCCGCGCCATCCTCCAGTCACTTGCAGAAGTGAAGGGATACCTGGCATCAGAAATTAAGCACACAGCGGCAGAGATGAATGCCGAAATTGCCACCATCGGGGCCCGCACAACGGAAACGGAACACAGAGTGGCACGGATGGTCACAGCACAAAATGACACCACAAAACTTACCAATACCCTCCAGCAAAAAAAATCACAGACTTGGAGATGAAACTGAAGGACATCTCCAACCGATCGCGACGTAACAATCTGCGTATAAGAGGCCTCCCAGAAACAGTGAAGGAGGAAGACATAGAATCTGTGCTTATACAATGCTTTCGCCAAAGCCTGTCAAACATACCAGACCACCTATGGCTGGTTGATAGAGCACACAGAGCCCTCAGGGCCATAGGCCTGAAGACCAGCCCACCAAGGGATGTCTTTATGAAACGGCACTACTTCACAATGAAGGAAGCCATCCTAAGGCACAGTAGAAAGCGACCATTCAAACTTGAAGGGGCTGAAATTCAACTGTACCAGGACATCGCTCCAGCAACACTCCTTCGCAGACGGGCATGGAAACCAGTTACGGATGTACTGCAGCAGAAAGGGATTCGATTTGCATGGGGCTACCCCTTCAAGATCATAGTCTTCCAAGGCTCTACACCAGCAATATTGCTACCCACTACAAACATCCGAGACTTTATGAAGGATGGTTCTGGATGACTTGCAATTGCTGGCGAACGGCATAGCAGAACAGCCACCTTTACCTGATAGCTGGGAGGACCACAACTCCCGACCGGCCTGAAACGTGGACATACAGTAATGTATTTTACAAACCCGAACTTACACACGTTAACTAACACTCTATTTGTTTACTTCTATGTTGTTGCTTTAAGTTGGTGCCTATTGGCATGGAGTTACTATTAATATAATGCTTACTGTGTTACCACTGGGGCTCAAGGGGAGGGAAACAGAGGTACCATAGGCCTACTGAACACCAAAACCTGGGAAGAAGGGGGGTTGCACATGGGCAATAATGCCTAACCGCACCTGAAAATAGGAGCTTACCACACGCATACCCGCCTAAACACCACGCCTATATCACGTTATACTGTATCTATACGGGAAAGAGATTACCATTACTGCCTGTAATAGAAGATGAAAGGTTGCCTACAGAGGGGTGGTTGCCTACAGAGGGGTGCCCTATACAGGTCACTAGCGTACAAACCGACTTGGAAGGCCAGTACGTGGTACTGTCGGGCACACTCCACTCCAACACCTACCACCTTGTGAATGTCTATGCACCAAACTCCCCCACACCAGAGTTCTGGACAGACCTCGAAGCAATGGTACACACCCTCCCAAGGGGAATCTTGATACTGGGAGGGGATCGTAATGCGACACCCTGCCCGGCGTCAGACCGGGGAGGAGGACAACACCTCCCGTGCTCACAACACAGAGGGGGACAGGACAAACTTCTGCACACATTCATACTTAACACAGGACTGTTGGATCCATGGCGAATCCAACACCCAAGTGAGCGTGACTACACGTTCTATTCTGCCCCCCATGCCACCTACTCCCGCATAGACCTCTTCCTCACGAATCGGCTGGGCATGCAATGGGTCAAGACCACTGTGATAAACTTAATCTCCTGGTCAGATCATGCAGACATAGAGATCACTCTAAACACCGATGGGACCCACACACCCTGGAATGGCGAATGAACTCCTCCCTCCTTAAGAACCCACAGATACAGTAGAGTATTAGGCAAGAGATCGCACACTACTTTCAAACTAATGAGACAGTTATATGAAAACAGACGGAGAGCTGCAGATCTCATATGGAGGGTCGGGAGGAAGCAAACGCCTACTCTGATCCTCTCCCTGGATGCGGAGAAGGTGTTTGATAGGGTCCTAAAGCCTTACCTGTTCATGCTACAATGCAAAATGCACCTACCGGACACATTTGTCAATGCAGTTCACGCCCTATACACAAACCCCAGAGCGCAGACACTGATACCTGGAACAACACCACGCCCCTTTGCCCTCAAAAATGGAACGCGACAGGGATGCCCGTTATCCCCCCTTTTATTTATCTTAGCCCTTTGTAGCGTTACTTACCTTAACCGGGGGCCGGTCGCGGTCCTCTCTTCAAGCCGCGCGCGGTCCTGCGGCTGCACGAGCCGCGCGCGGCTCATCTGACTGCTTCAGATGGAAGGCGGGCAGTGACCGCGTGAAGCGGTCACGTGTCCCGCCTGAAACTAAGAGCGCGCCGCGAGTCTCGGGCGCGCTCTTAAAGAGACAGTGGGAGCCTAATTGCCAAAAGGCTCCCATTGGCTCCTGTCATACCACACTCCCTGTACAATTACCTATAGGGGGTGTGGAAGTGACAGGAGCCAATCACTTTCGTTTTAAAGCTATTTAAACTTACCTTTTTCCCTTAGCTCGTTGCCCTATCGTGGTTTCTGTTTCAGTTCCCTTTAGCGCTTGTGGTGTTCAGTTGTGTTTTCTCGTATTGACTTTGGCTTCGTATTCTGACTTCGTTTTCGCTTTATCCTTATCTGTACTGTTTGCTGGCTTGCTGTTTTCCGTGTACCAGACCCCGGCTTGTCCTAGTTTACGCTGTCTCTCTGTGCCCTTGACCTCGGTTTGTTCCTGGCTCTGTCTCCTCTCATATACGTCGAGTCCGGCCATTCTAAGGTCCGGTAGACGTATCTCTCCTCTGTATTTGCCTCTGTTTAGCTGGATCCTGCGTGTAGGGGTATATTCTCGTTACATTACGATAGGGCCATGGACCCCGCAGATTTAGCTCAACAGATGGCGTCCCATGAGGCAAGATTTGTAGAGCAGGATCACCGTATGGATCAAATAGCTCAGGCTCTCCAGACGCTCCTAGCTAGAACCGTTCCAGCAACTACACCTAACCCTCCTACGCCCCTTCTCCCTGAAGTATCTACTTTGCCTAATACTTCGGCCCATTTAACACCTCCTCCTAGGTATGGAGGGGACTCTAAGACTTGCAGAGGGTTTATTAATCAGATTGAATTTCACTTCGAAATGTATCCACGTTCATTTCCCACAGAGAGGTCTAAGGTTGGGTTCTTTATGCACCAACTTACCGATAAGGCACTTGAGTGGGCAAATCCTATTTGGGAAGCTAATGGACCTATGGTACATGATTTCAACAGTTTTCTTACGGCTTTTCGTAGAACTTTTGACACAATGAAAAGGTCAAAGAATGCCGCGAGAGCATTAATGAGAGTTAAACAGGGTTCTAGGTCTGTGGCTGATTATGCTATTCAACTTCGCAGGTAGATTGGACCAACAATGGGTTAACTACTGCCTTTATGGAAGGTTTGTCAGATACGATATTGGATGAGGTAGCAGCTAAGGAGCTTCCTATTGCCTTAGAGGACCTTATCGATTACCTCATTGATATTGATAATAGAATTCGTGACAGGCTCTATACCAAGAACAGGAATAGACGTTTTGTTACACCCATTAACCCCAGAGTTAATATACCAGAGAGTGTTAAAGTGTCTGAGGAGGAACCTATGCAATTAGGGGTTGCCAAACTCTCTGATACTGAGAAATTACATAGGAGAAGGGAGGGACTCTGCCTATACTGTGGTAGGAGAGACCATATGGTAAAGGAATGTCCTTTACTCCCGGAAAACTCTCGCACCTAAGACCTTATAGGGGACTGGCCTTGGGTGTGATATCTAAGTCTCCTAAATTGCCTCCTAACCGCTTGCTTCTCCCGGTTTCTTTATATATGGGAGAGATTTGTATAGTTGACAACATATATGCTCTGGTTGACTCTGGGGCAGCTGAAAATTTTATAGACTCTGGCTTTATAAAGAGAAACAACATTCCCATCAGAGAGAAGGAGATACCCTTGGCCGTTGAGGCCATAGATGGTAGACCATTAAGTTCTCCAGTTGTTACTCATGAGACTATACCATTACACATGTACACAGGGGTTTTACACTATGAAACCATTCGATTCCAGGTCATCACCTCTCCCTCTTCACAGTTAGTATTAGGGTATCCATGGTTGCGTGCTCACAATCCCATTTTTGACTGGGAGACAGGGCAAATAAAATCATGGAGTGAGGCCTGCCACGAGTCTTGTACGTTGGAAGTCACCCCTTTGAATTCTATTGAGGTACCTACCAGTCCTCCTTTGTCTACGGTTATACCCCCTCAGTACTTATCTCTAAAGACTGTTTTCGATAAAAGGGAGGCTGAGAAATTGCCGCCTCACAGACCCTATGATTGCGCTATTGACTTGTTGCCTGGCACTATACCTCCAAAGGGCAGGGTGTACCCCTTATCGGTTCAAGAAAACCGTGTCATGGAGGAGTATATTAAGGAATCACTAGAAAAGGGGTTTATTAGGAGATCCTCTTCTCCAGCTGGAGCAGAGTTCTTCTTTGTATCGAAGAAAGAAGGTGATTTAAGACCGTGTATAGATTATAGAGGTCTAAACAAAATCACTATCAAAAATGCATACCCTATACCTTTGATTACAGAATTATTTGACAGGCTGAAACATGCCACTGTGTTCACTAAATTAGACCTTAGGAGTGCATACAATTTGATATGTATAAAGGAAAATCACGAATGGAAGACTGCATTCAACACTAGATCCGGTCATTACGAATATACTGTTATGCCATTTGGGCTTTGCAATGCCCCAGCGGTATTCCAAGAATTTATTAATGATGTCTTGAGAGATTTTATTCACACATTTGTTATCGTATACTTGGACGACATTTTAATATATTCTACTGATATACACACTCATCACAGACATGTTACGACAGTTTTGAAGACCCTTCTTGCTAATGGTCTTTATTGCAAGCTAGAAAAATGTCTGTTTGACCAAACCGAAGTCCAGTTCTTGGGGTATTTGATTTCAGCTAAAGGTTTTCGTATGGATCCCCAGAAGCTTGCTGCTGTAATAGAATGGCCTCTACCGCAAGGTCTGAAAGCTATTCAGCGTTTTCTTGGGTTCTCCAATTATTATAGACGTTTTATCAAAGGTTTCTCGTCCATTGTAGCACCTATTACCCGTATGACAAAAAAGGATGGCAATACTCGTGTTTGGTCTACCGAGGCACTTCAGGCTTTTGAATTTCTTAAAACTACGTTCGCCTCTGCACCTATTTTACAGCATCCTGTCCCCTCACTGCCCTATATTCTTGAAGTTGATGCTTAGGAT